CAGCTGAAGCTGAATTTGGTGCAAACTGAAGTGTCCTGGGGTACTCAGTCAGGGAGTGCCCTGGCCATTTGACTGGAGCAGAGGCTGGTGCAGGTGGGAGTGTTCCAGGGCACTCCATGTAGGGGGTGCTCTTGCAGGGCAGCTGGAACTGATGCAGGCATGATTGAGGGGTTCCCAGGGCACTCTGTGCAGGGGGCACCCTGGTAGGGCAGCTGGTTCTAAAACAGAGGTCAGTTGGGAGGTTCTGGAGCACTCTGCACTGGAGGTGCCCTAGCAAGCTACTGAAAGTGAAGTGATGTGGGCCTGGAGTATTTCAGGATGCTTTGCACCTGTGTCACCCTGGCACAAAGACTGGAGCTATAGTGAGCACTAACCAGGGGTGTCCCAGTGTGCACCACCCTGTGGCTGCCTTGGGATGGCTGAGGCTGGTGTGAGCTAAGGGCCTGGGGCTCCCTGAGGAGGCAGGCTGTTTAGGGTGCCTGGACCGTACACTCGTCTGTGCTTTCAAGGTGAAGGGAGAGCATAGATTGTGTCTGTCAGTGACTCCACTCAGAGAGATTTCTAGCAGCTCCCTATTTGGTGGGGTTCTAGGGCTGGTTCTTTTATATGCTAACTGCTCTTTTAAACCATGGCTTTTTTCTTTTTTCTTTTCTTTTTCTAAGATTTATGTATTTGAGAGAAAGAGAGAGAGAACAAGCAGGGGGAAAAGCAGAGGCAGAGAGAGGGAGAAGCCGACTCTCCGCTGAGCTGGGAGCTCCACGCGGGACTCAATCCCAGGACCTGGATAGCATGACCTGAGCCAAAGGCAGGAGCTTAACCATCTGAGCCACCCAGGCGCCTGACCATGGCTTTTTTCTTGCCCAAGGATAGAGGAATCTGTTCTCCATCCCTCAGTACTTTCCCTCCCCACTGCAGTTTGCAGCATTCGGGATAGGGGTTCCCTTCATTACCACATCCCTATCCCTCTTGCTGTCCTCGTTTGCCATTCTCTCTTTTGTTGTGCAGAAGCTGTTCAGTTGGCCCTCTGGTCTTCAAGAGTAGTTGTTCTATAAATAAGTGTAATAAATAGGTGAGTTCAGGGTCTTCTTATGGCACCATCTTGGGCCAGAACTCCCCCTTGGGTATTCTTGGTTAATAGTTGCTTTTTTTTTTTTTCTTTCCTTTCATTACTTTGAATATATTGTGTCAATCCCTTCTGGCCTGCAAAATTCCTGCTGAAAAATCTGACTTATGTGGATTTCTTATACATGTTTTTCTTCTTCTAAGAATCTTTCCTTGTCTTTAACGTTTGGCAGTTTAATTATAATGTGTCTCAGTGTGGCTCTCTTTGGATTCCTTTTTGGAACTCTCTGGGATTTCTGAATCTGGATGTCTGTTTCCTTCCCCAGGTTAGGGAAATTTTCAGCCATTATTTTGTCAAAAAAGTTTTCTGCCCCTTTCTCTCTTCTCTGGGACCTCTATAATGATTCTTGGTTTGGTTGATGTCATTCCATAAGTCCCTAAAGCTATCTTAACTCTTTTTCATTCTTTTTTCTTTTTGCTGCTCTTGGGTGAGTTTTACTGCCCTTTGATCCTTTCTTCTCCATCTAGACTGCTGTTGAACCCCTTTATTGTATTTTTTAGTTCAGTTATTGTATTCTTCAGCTCTGTGACTTCTGTTTGCTACTTTCTTACATTTTCTATCTCCTTGTTGAAATTTTTAATTTTTTGTCCTTTCTTCTCCTGAGCTCAGTATCTGTATGGCCATTATTTTGAACTCTATCAGAGGGAATCACTTACCTCCATTTCCTTAAGTTCTCTTCCTGAGGGTTTACTTGTTCTTTCATTGGGAACATATTCTTCTGTTGCTTCATTTTCCTTGACTCTCTGTAAAAGTTACTTCTCCCAATCTTGAAGGACTGGTCTTGTGCTGATGAAACCTACTGTTCAACCCTGCTCTAGCTCAGTTGTCTTTCAAACCTTTGTGACTTTCCAAGCAGTCTACTTTGTTTTCAGTGGTTCCCAGTAGCTGACCGTGTCAGTGTCCCAAATGGGAGGATCTTAGCAGCACTTAGATTTAGGCTGATTGGGAACCAGACCCTCAGGCAGCAGCTCTTAAAATAACTGGAGAAGACTGGGAGATGAGGATTTTTATCTACTCCCTCTGTACTGACTGGATGGCAGTGGGCCCAGGAATCCAAGTCCCACCAGCCATCTGAGCCAGGGAATCAAGGGGCTTCCCTGGGTCACGCTACAAAAACCAGGGCACCAGACATATGTACAAGCTCCTCTCTGAGAGATACCATTAGTCTGGAGTGCGGCAGTGGAAGAGCCTTAACACAGCGTTCCCCCAAACCCTGCAAAGGATTACAGTTGGCCCTTAAATGTGTTTAGTTAGAAGCCTGTCCCTTAGGCCACAGCTATGAAGATAAGCTAATAGGCCACTTTCACAGAAAGACTAGGTGCTGCCTCACTGCTATGCCCTGGGGGAGGAAGCCAATTAATAACTCGGGTTATAGGATCTGTAACAATCCTGTAGGACCCACAATAAGCCCCACTGGCTACCAGAGCTAAGCAAGGAAGAGGTGTCCTCTGAGCAGTAGCCACAAAAGTTGGGGTGCCAGGTGAGCGTACAAATTCCTTCTAGGAGATACCAGTGAGCCAGGAAAAGGCAGAGGAATGGCACAAAGATTGCACCTAATGGCCTCCGTTTTGGGTAGGTCTTTCAGTAGGCCCCTAGATGTGTTTTAAATGAGGCTAGTGCTTTGAGATAATCAAGTAAGGCTCTTTTGCATAAGGTCTGGACACTTTTCGGACAACTGCCTCTACAGTGGGCCCTGGGATGGGGGGAGTCCATCTGACCCCTATGAGGGTCTTGTGGATGAAAGCCCCATGGCCTTTCAAAGCTAGACATTTTGGGGGCTTGTCTCTCAGGTGCAGCTCTTAAGAGTCAGGTGCAGGATATGGGGTTTAAATTCTTCACTCCTCAGGGAAAGGCTCAGGGTTGTGAGTTCCCTCCTGATTGTGGGTCTCCACACCGAGGATGGGGTTTATTTCAGCCTCTCCTACTTGCTTCATTGTGGATTTTTTCTTTTTTGCCCACAGTGTAGGGGTCACTCAGCTATTTTTGTTTTTAGGGTTCCCCCCCGCCCAGAGAAAATTGTTCTGTATGCAGCTGTAGATCTGGTGTGTCTGTGGGAGGAGGTTGAGTTCAGGATCTGCCTTTTATTAATACCTTGAGGTGGAAACCACACACTCTTTAAAGTAACAAGTGGAGGTTCAGCTGCTGGCTCTTCTTTCCAGGACTCAAAAGCATCACTCACCACACGGATAACATATACCCTAATCTTTACCCACTGGACAGTAACAAATAATGTGGGATATTCTGCCAATGGCACAAAATTTCAAGTTAATAAAGATAAGTCATAAAATCCTAATGTAGTCATGGGGTAGGATGAGGAAGATAACATGCATTTACAGAACAGAATGAAGAGAAGTGACGTTAGATTTTTCAGCATATTAAGTTACAAGTAGGGTATAGTTACAAAATTTTTGTGAAAAAGTTATTGTCAGTTAATACAACCCTCTACGAAATGGTGAGGATAGCTGCCAAACAAATCCAAGTGACTCAGTAGTCTATGTTAACGCTTATTTATTTTGGACTGCAGACCTACTCTTGCCAACTCTTTATTACCAAGCAGCTGGGGTCCAGTTTTGCAGTTATGGGAAATGGACAAACCTGAGCCATCAGTTATGAGGCAACACACCTTCAACTGTACTATCAAATAATTTATAGACTAGCACATGTTTTCAGGAATATTGGTTTCATTGAGACTTTAATTATGGTCCAAGAACTTTTATGGAAACTCAGTAAGATTTGCTTTAAAGAACTTTAAGGGTATGATTAGCAATACATAGAATGTTTGGATTAAAAAAAAAAATTGAGACCTAACAGTACATTCCCACTGGGAACGTCAAGCTCTGAATACTGTGACTCAATGTTCAGAGGAATAGCTCTGAAATTTTCTTCTATAACGTAACAAAGACATTCAAACCTGAAAAGGCAACAAACTTGATTACAGGGCAAATTTAAGTACATAGTTTTCATTCTGTAAATGAGTAACTTGTGAAACATTCCTAAAGTCAGTGGACAAAACAGGAAAACCATTATTTTTGTTCCACAATTCTGGGAAATAGGATTAGAAGTTCTAGGACTTTAGATGCTTGCGCTCCAGCAAATATTATCTACTATACTTAGGAAGTCGTTTTTTAAAGTATTTATTCTCCAGGGTCATTAAAGAATTTTTTTTCTTCTTTATTTAAAATATCTACCAATTGGAAAAGGAAACAGGTACCAGGAAAATCTGGTTACATTCCCCCCCACTCCCCCACTTGCCATTTTCTCATACACACTTTCAAAGTCATTTGAAAATAAGGCCATTTCCTTTGCTGGGTCAATTATCTGATATAAATTAAGTAGACACTGAATGTTTCTTGAACAGAAATTTTACATCAGTACCACTGTTACCTTTAGAGGATACAAAACTACTGACTCAGGTAATGCAGGATTACAGTTTTAACAAAAAACCTGTAAGAGCCAATGAAAAAAATTTTAATTTTGATTGGTTTCCTTTATTATTACCACTGTCTGCCCACAAATTCTGCAGCTTGGATTCCTTTTCAAATCCTTCTAAGAGTCCACTTCATGAGTTACATATATACACACAGAATAAAACAAATATTGTAATTTTAAAAAATTAAGTCATTCTACATATTATAGGCTAGACAGTTCAATGTAATCAAAGGTTATAGCTCTGAAAAATATGATGGTAATGGATTTTAAAACTCAGATAACAAAGGTTTGCTAACTCCTGGTTCGCTTCAAGTATTACTGAGCTGTATTTGAAGTATATTCCTCAACTCCTGTTGCATTATTGAGCAGTAAAATATGTGAAGTATGAAACGTAGCATTGATGACAAATGTTTCAGAACATCAGGAATAAGATCAATGAAGAGCAAAGTGAATCGAGAACAAGGAAAGGAAAGGTACATTTATTAAAAATAAAAACATTAGACAGTCTTTGATAACAAAACCATTGAGAATTCAAACACGTCCAATATACATTGTAACAATGCACATATATTTAAAAAAAAAAACCCATTAGTAATTTTTTTTTAGAATTTTTTTAGAGGAAAAAAGTACTTTGGCTCTCCCCTGCTGGAGGTCTGCCCACAAACACAGCATGTGGGACCAAGCATCCGCTTTCAAGAGTTCTGTACAGCACAAAATTGCAGTGTGTGCATTCATTCTGTGAACACACTGATTCTGAATAAAATCAGTTTCTGTAGGGATGATCCAAAACATAAGTCAGTAGCTCCATCTCATAAAAAATATTCAGAGGCTGCAAGAGCAGTGGCAACCGTTTTTCCAAAATCTTCAGTTTTAACAAAAGGTACAGAATAAACTGTTAAATCTAGATGTTTTCACATTATTTCACAGGAGTATCAAGTACTGTGTAAAAATTTATGTAAAATCTTAATTAAGCCAAAACTAGTGTCATTAAACTTTAGATCCAAGTTGTTCTTCCCCTTTTACCACGGCTGGTAAATCTTTTCTGCCTTTGTCCTGAATGTTTGTCAAACCAAAGAACTCTGAAAAAGAATATGCAATCCTGAAGGAACACAGTCCCAGAAATGTCACTGGAATTCAGTCCTAAGACACACACAGTTCCTGCTGGACGCTGGGCTGTGGGAGTTTATTATCGTCAGCCTTCTCATGTCCTGGGGCATGACAGGTAGTCTTCTTTTTAAATAGCCGAAGACTCAATCGCAGCAAGTCATTGTCTACCACTGGAGCATTCGTGTAAGCTTGTTTTACAGTGCCCTAATTTGAAGAAAACAAAAACAAATTTTAAAAGATGTATGTTATTAGTTAACAGTAGGAAAGACAGGCAGGTTAACCTCTAACAAAAATAACAAAGCTGCAAGAAAAATTAATTTGGGATGGATATTTAAAAGCAAAATTAAGAAATGTTTTCAGATTCAAGGAATCTTAGAAAAGAAAGCAATCTTTAAAAGGGGACCTCTTGCTTAAAGTAGGAATCTTCAGCCATCCCTGACAGGTAATCAACTAGCTTTTATTTCCAATGACAAAGCAAATAACAATCACTGCACATTCTTGAACATGTTGAAATAAAATCTCTTCTTTAGAGCTGCACACTAATTCAATCTTACTCTTCCATGACAACCTTTCAGTCCTCTGAAGAGAAGCACCGAACACTCCACACTCCTTTCTGGTCTGTTATTATCCCATAAAATGCGGACTCTAGAAGTGAACAAATTCTCTAGAAGACAGCTGATCACTGCAGTGTAAGGAGAAACTACTACCTCCCTTCTGCTAAAATGTGTATCTCTATTTTTCTAACTTAAAGCTACATTAGCATTTTTGGAAGCTGTTGTCCTAAAATTTTGTTAAATGTTCTCCAACTATGTTCATAAATGAAATAAGGTGAGTTTTGACTATCGAGCCTTCTGCCATTTCTCTTCTTTCTAGGATCCTTAAAGGAACAGTGGTTCTTTGATCACATCTACACTAAAAAATATGTTGTGATACAGTAAATTGACTTTTTATGTGTAGTTCTGTATTGATTCACGTAACTTCAGAAAACTCCCTTTGCTGTCCCTTTTTGTGTTCACACCCTCTGCCCAACTCTAACCCCTGACAACCAATGATAGGGTCTCTCTAATCATTTTGCCTTTTCCAGAACATCAAATAAATGGGATTATATACTGTATGATTTCTGACACATACTCCTGAGATTAATCCATGTCGTTAACAGTACTGACAGTTTGGTTATTTTTTATTAAAATTAGTAATCCGTTATATGGATATGCCCCAGTTTACCAGTTAGCTATGTATAGAACACTGGGGTGGTTTTCAGTTGTTGGAAATTATGAAAAGACCTGAGCTAAGCTTTTGTGGACAGGTTTTTATATGAACATAAGTTTTCATTCTTCTAAGGTAAATACCTAGCAATGGGATTACTGGGTCATATCTAACTTTACAAGAAACAACCAAACCGTTTTCCAAAGTGGCTGCAGCGTTCTGCATTCTCACCAGCAACACTGGCAGTTTCAAGCTCTGCATCCTCACCATGGGGTTTTTTGTTGTTTGGCTTTTAGCTATTAAAATAGATTCACAATGGTATCTAAGTTTTAATCCGCATTCTCTAGTGGTTAATATTGTCAAACATCTTTTCTTGTGCTTATCCATATATATCCATTTATCCTCTTTGGTGAATTGTCCATTCAAGTCTTGCCCATTTAAAAAACACTGGATTGCCTGTTTTCTGTTAATTTTTGAGAGTTCTTTATATATTCTAAGTACCTAAGTCCTTTTTCCAAAAAGTGATTCCAAATATTTTCTTCCAGTATATGTCTTTTCATTCTCCGTCTCTTTCACAGAAGTTTAAAATTTTGATGAAGATCAAGTATCTCAAAATAAAAACTTTAAACACACCCCATTTTTAAATTCCCCCCCCTCCCCCCAGCTGACTAGTCATATTTGTGTGGGTTTATTTCTGGACTCTGTTCCATCAATCTAAGTGTCTCATCCCTGGCGCCAGTACCACATTATCTTGAGTATTGTGGCTTTATAGTAAGTCTTGGATTGGGTACTGTGAGTCCTTCATCTTTTTAAAAAATTTTGTGTATTCTTGTTGCTTTGACTTACCACGTAGACTTTAGAATCAGTTTGTATCTACAAAACAAACAAAAAAACCTCCTGGGATTTTGCCGCACGGTGTTAAATCTGTAGATCCATTTGGGGAGAATCCTAATCTTAACTATACTGAGTCTTTCAATCCATGAACACGATGTATCTCTCCATTATTTAGGTTATCTTTGATTTTTTTTTTAATCAGTGTTTTATAGTTCTTGGCACACAGAGCCTGTACATGTTTTGTTAGATTTATACCTAAGTACTTTTTTGGGGGGAGCCATGGTAAAAAAAAATTTTTTCCCCTTCATTTCATATTCCCAGGTACTTCTATACACTATCAGTATAAGGAAATACAATTGCTTTTTGCCTGCTTTGTAGCCTGTGGCCTTGTTAAACTTATAAAATAAATTCTAAGCATTTCTGATAAATTCCTTGAAACTTTTATGTAGGCAATCACGTTGTCTGTGAATAAATACAGTTTTACTTCTTCCTTTCCAATCTGTATGCCTTTTATTTCCTTTTCTTATTGAACTGGCAAGAACTTCCAGTAAATGCAGAGTAGGGGTAGTGAGAATAGGCATCCTTGCCGTGTTCCTGATCTCTCCGGGAAATCTTTCAAACTTTTACCATTAAGTATGTTAGCTGTAGGTTTTTGTAGATGCCCTTCAAAAAGTAAAAGACTCTAATTCTAGCTTGCTAAGAATTCTTATTGTAAAGGAATGCTGAATTTTATCAAATGTTTTTCTGCATCAATTGATATGATGAGGTATTTTTTTCTTTTTGGTCTGTTACTGTGTAGATTACACTGAATGATTTTAGAATATTAAAACAGCCTTTCATTCAGAGGATAAATGGTTCTTGGTCGTGGTGTAGTCTTTTTTATATATTGCTGGATTGATTTCCAAGTTTTGAGGATTTTTTTATGACTATGTTCATGAGAGATATTGATCTGTAGTTTTCTTGTGATGTCTTTATCTAGTTTTGATATCCAAGTACTGCTGGCCTCATACAATGAGGTGGGAAGTATTCCTGTCTCTTCAATTTTCTGGAAGAAATTAGGTAGAACTGGTGTTTTTTCTAACTTAAATGTTTGATAGATTTTGGCCAGTGGAACCATCTGAGAGTGGAGAATTCTTTTCCAACAATAAAAACAAAACCAAATGAAACAGACACAGGACTATTCAGATTATCTATTACTTCTTGAGGAAGTTTTGGTGCTTGTGGCTTTTAGAGCAATTGATCCATTTCTTCTAAATTGTCAAACTTACGTGCATAGAGTTCTTTACAATATTATCCTTTTACTATCTGTGAGACCTGTAGGGGATTATCAATATTTTTCATCTCTTCAGAACCAAATTTTGGGTTTTACTACTTCTGTTTTCCTATTAATTTATTTTTGGTATTCTTTCTTTCCTTTTGCTTGCTACAGGTTCTATACATTCTTTCAAAACTATAATATCAAATGAGAATTAAACTCATTTAAAGCAGCTAGGTGTTCTCTTCATATCCTTTACCTATCTCTTCTGATATATAGTAAAGAATGATTTTTAAAATACATATTTAAAGACAATGCCAACCAATATGAGTTTACCGTCATACAACTTTCCTCAATGAATGGTCCTAGTCTGTACTTTTCTTTCATAGTTATACATTTTAAAGGTTTTTATTTTTCTTAGCATTTTTCATGAGATTCTCTAGCATCTTCAGCTTTTGTGCAAATATTTTTAACCCTGAGCAATCAGAAAGCTCACAAATGTTTTCTTTAGATGGATCATTTAAGACATTTATCCTGTGCCACTCTTTTTATAATGTGTCATGTGTTAGTTAATGGGCTGTGCCCTGTACTGAAGGATTACAAGGTTCTGACAACAGTGCTCAAGGAGAATTTTACAAGGGTATTTTTGGTTGTCACAATTTTTGAGAAGCATATGGCATATCAGAAGAGGAACCAGGGAACGTTACAAAATATTTTTTATAAAAAAGGGGGCAGGATTCTGGTGAGACTTCGAAATGTGTAGCCTTTCTCAAATGAAGTCCCCTACTTGAGCCAACAGAAAATGATGTGATGGATTATTTTTCAAATTTGATACTGAGGATGGAAGCAGTACCACTCTAGATACATAAAAGAGAAGGTGATTCATTACCTACATGCTTATTAGGGCTACCTGGGGTTTAATTCTCTTGGGAAAATTTCCAACTGAGAAAAGCTGCAAGGAACAATGGGCACCTAAGCAACAGAATGCAGGGAACGAAGTATATGAAATGGGAGTGCAAAGAAGAATGACTGTAGCAACTCTGTCAAAAGTAGTTCTGAGAAAGGCCTTTAATCAAGGAAGACTTTAAAGTGGAAACAGATACAGGGCATAGGAGGTTCTTAATCTTTGGAGTTGAGTTCATCCCTTGCTTTTTCATGACTTTTTCTTTAATGAAGTACACTTTCTGCTAGCAATGTTTTCTTAACGTCCCCAGGTAAAAAGCTAATGAATATTTCTCTAATCTTTAAAAAGCCTAAGAGAGTTGGTTTTAAAAGTTAAGACATTTTCAATTTCTCATGATCAGATCTCTCCCAAATCTATTCTTCTCAAGTAAAAGCTTAAATATAATCACTTGTATTTATTTCCCTTTCTTCTGACCTGGTACATTCTCATAAACACTATTTCTTCTTATAAATATCCTTATCACTCTGTGTCTGGAAAAATTTTTCCCTGATCTTGTTTAGATAATGAAACATACTAGAAATTTAAAAAGAAAATATTTCACAGAAAGAGAATTTTAAACTCTTTATGCATCTAATGTTGAATAACAAATTGCTATTCACAAATTTCATCAATACTATTAAAGTAAAATGAAAACTATTATAAATAGAATTCTTCCTTTTACATGTGTAAAAGACTACGAAACCGAACTCATAAAAGCAGATGAGACCTTAATCTCACCTTAAAGCAATCAAATGGAAAAAAAAAAATGCCATTCATATAATTCATACATACATTCATACAATGCATACATTTGCTTTTTTTTTTCAAGGAAACAGTACCTTCTCATTTTTAACAAGCTGCTTCCGGATTGCTGAATCCCGTCTGAAGCATAACGCTTTACAACATGGTCCAAGATTACTAAGAAGACTTGCTCGCTCTTCTTTTCGTAGTAATGCAGCCATGTTGAGAGCCCCCAATTCATGTTCAAAAAGACTGTCTGCATCTTTCAATAAAAACAAACAGGCATTAAGTTTTCCTAAAATAGGAAAGTGTTACTGGCTGCTTCAATATTCCATATAGTCTATACTTTATCAAAGTTATCATAACAATGGTGAAAATTATAGGCAATATACATAATAGGCCACAAAACAAGTCTCAGTAAATTTAAGAGGACTGAAATCATATCCTGCATCTTTTCAGACCACAACAGTATAAAATAGAAATTATAAGGGGAAAAAAACACGTGGAGGCTAAACAACATGCTACTAAAAACCACCAATGGGTCAACAAAGAAATGAAAGAGGAAAACAAAAAATACATGGAGATAATGAAAATAACACAATAGTCCAATACCTTGGGGATACAGCAAAGGCAGTTTTCCTAGAGGTAACAAATGATTTCAGTAAACTTGCAGGATACAAAATTAATATCCAGAAATCAGTTGCATTTTTTTTTTAAAGATTTTATTTATTTGAGAGAGAGAATGAGAGACAGCACAAGAGGGAAGAGGGTCAGAGGGAGAAGCAGACCCCCTGCTGAGCAGGGAGCCCGATGCGGGACTAGATCCCGGGACTCCAGGATCATGACCTGAGCCGAAGGCAGTCGCTTAACCAACTGAGCCACCCAGGCGCCCCAGTTGCATTTTTATACACAATAACAAAGTTGCTTTCAAAACAATACAAAACACACACTTGCACATGTCCCTAGAAAGTATAACATGGTTAAACTTCCAGTTTCTTCGTGGTTTTGAAATGACTACCACGTATTATTCAAGACTGTTTTAGTTGTACCTTTTCTTTTTTAAAAGTAAGTCTTCACCCAACATGGGGCTCGAACTCATGACCCTGAGAACAAGAGCTGTAGGCTCTACCAAATGGGCCAGCCAGGCACCCCTGTACTTGTTCTTAAATCTATCACACTAGACACAGAAAACCTAGACAGAAGCAATTTAAATTTCAGTATACACGTAAAATTTTTGGTTTTCAATCTTAGAATTTTTTTTAAAAATTACATATGGCATAGGGATATACTTTCTTCAGTACTGGGGCACTGAAACAGACCAAATGGGAAGGAAAAAATCAGTACCAATTATTTTACAAATACCTATTGAGTACCTACTGTGTGTCGGGTACTCTTCTAGGCACTAGCATAATTAGTAAGAATGTCTAAGATCATTGGACAATGGATACAACAGTAGACGAAGTCCCATTCCTTAGGAAACTTATATTGAGCATCATGTATCAGTTCTCTCGTTCTCTAATAAAGCTATCACAGCAAAAAGTAGGAGAGATCTGATTGGTAAGCAACAATTAACTCCCTTTTACAATGTATGTCATTAAGTTAGGGCCAAACTGCATTTCTATAGTTAGCAAAGTCATAGGAGCAAATAGCTTCAGAGGTGGGTAAGACCTTAGGGGTTTCGTTCCATCATTTTATACCCACAGGAGTTATTTGCTTAAGGTCACAGAGCCAACCAAACACGGTAAAAAGAGTGGGGCAGGAATCCAAGAGTTTGGTCATTTGTCAAGTAACATTCACAGTTATAATTTGTTTCATGTACATACATTCTATGTTCATTGGGACATGTCAAACAGAGTTTTATTGCTTATGCTAACAGTCAAAAAAAACCAAACAAACCCTGAAACAAAACAATTTTTTTCAATTTTGTATTAGTAAAAAGCTTTTTTTACCTAAACTTTTTTTACTCTCACAAACATGATATAAAATTAAATGTTGCTTTAATGTTTTATCTCCTTTCCTTTTTACTATTCAGTCATCCCCCTCCCATTAATAAACTATTAATAAGGTAGGAACCAGATAAAATAGAAAAAAACTGTAGAATAGTGAAAAGTTGTTGCCATAAGGTCTCAAATCAATGTGATAAAATATTTTCAAATGAAATAGTAGCAGTCAATATTTACTGAGTGCCACTAAATGTCAGGAATTGTTCTAAGTATTTTACTTATAATACCTCATTTGCTCCTCCTAACGATCTTATGAATTTGATGGTTTTATTCCCAGCTTACAAGTGGTGACACTAACACATAGAGATTAAATAATAGCTAATAAGTGGTGGGCCTGTTGAGGAATCCAGACCATCTGGTCTAGACACCAAGTTCTAAGTTTTTATCCCTTCGTTAAAGGCTCAACCTACACATTTGCATTTGGTTAGAACTCTGCATTTTCCAGGGGAAAGGGTTGCCAAGATACCCAGTTTACTTAGATATGAAAAGTATCTAGTTCACTCTTCCAGGCTCTGCTTTGTTTAGTTTTGGGAACACCACTGAGGGCTCTGACATTTGAACCTACCTGTTAAAAAGTAATTACGGTAAGAAAGCTCATCTGTGCTATTTTTGTAACTTTTCTGTGGGTTTTAATTTTCATGGTCAAAATTCCTTTCTAAAATTTCAAAGAAGATTTAAATAAAGAACCTAAGTGAGTCCTCAAAACAAAAACAAAAACCCAGTTCTTATATGGTAAGTGCTGCATGAGAACAGAACAGCACCCTTTGCAAAGGCACTTAATTAAGTTATAGCAGACACTGCACAAAGTAGAATGCAATTACCTTTGGGTTTTTCTAAAAGTCTCTGACATGTTTCTTTGACTTTGGTAAAGAGTTCAGAACCTGCCAACTTTTTAGAAATCCCAACTCTGAGCATAACAGCTCCAGGTGTGAATTTTAACAGTGCAGCCCCAGGCTCTCGTGGTTCTTTTGGATGCTTTGGCATAAGACCAGACCAATCCACATCTATCACATCTAATGGATCTGTAAAAAGTTAAGAACAGCATTTTTTTTTTTTTAACACCAAGAAATAGCATTGTTGTTATCTTTAGAGAAACAGAAATTGCAAAACACAGCATTAAATAACAAGTCCTTTGAACCAAAAATGTCCTTTTCTTAAAATGAAAGCTTTCCTATAAAGACTAATACTTAGAATCTAAGGATCTTTACAATAAAAAACCTCACCAAAAGAAAACAGGCAAGCACACAAAAACCCAAACGCATTCCTATAAGTAACTCAGGCAGTGGCTATTAATACGGAGAACAAATAATCCATCCACTGACAAGGAACAATTGAAAAAATTAACAAAGTAATATTCTATTTAGAAGTACCTAATGGCATATCATAAAAAAGATAATCATACATACCTCCTTTTACATTAGTAGAAAAAATTGTGATATATATAAAAAATTAAGTCAAAATAAAAGTTTAATATTTTACATACCCAGACAAAGCAAAGACCCTCACAATGATTTAAAAAAAAAAAAAAAGTTATAACAATCAGACTAACTGGGATGATTCAACAGGAACATCAATGGGTGTTGCTTCATGGTGCAGTCACTAGAATAAGCTCTGGCAACGCATAAAGTATACTATAAGGGAAAATAATTCCTGAGTTCAGAAAATTGACAGAAGTATATAGGTACTGTTTAAATATAATTTCAACGATTCTAAATTTTTGAATGATTGTTTCAAAAGTTGGCTTGTGGCACCACAATTTTGAAGCTCTGTACCATATATCTACCATCTAGAACACTGCTAGGCAATCAGTATTTGGTTAGATTCCAGGTCACAGAATATGAATCTTAACCTGCAGAATGGAAATCTTAGAATTTGGCTACTTTAAATGGGACTCTTTCCAATTTATGGGCACTGTCTACTTAAAAATGAGCAGAACATATAGACTATAATTTTCATTTTATTGGCCTTTCAGTCTTAAACATAAAGGGAAAAATTCTAATTGCTTTTCATTAATTCGCACAGCATGAAAGTGAACAAAAAATACCTTAATACCATAAATCAGATAATTTTTATGTTCAACCACCCTTGTAAATGATTACCTGGCATCTTCTCCTCATCCTGTTGGTCTTCCCTCTTTTCAGCATCACCTGCTAGAATTTCATCTAGTTCATCATCACTGATCGGCTCATATCCTTCTCCAGCACCAGATCCTAATGAATGTGCATCATCTAGCTTGGATTCGTCATCTCCTGCTTTGGAAAGATTAATTTCATGTCAAAGAGCACATCTAAGGGACATCTAAGTGAAACCAAAGAGGAAACACTAAAAATACCTGAAAAGTATTTTTTTCCTTAGAAAACTATGTTTCTTAATTATTCAAAATACTTGACGATTCAAAAAGAAAAAAATAAAACTGAATTAAATTTAATTTTAATGGCAAGAACACAGTATGAACAGCAATATCGAAACAAGTTATAAGATTACAATTAAAATGTAACAAAAGGTACCACTAACTTATTAATGTTGCTTGTGTGCATTAATCTTTTATAATAAAACTTCAAGTAAATCCAAATTTACTAACTTCAATAAACTCATTAACTTAAAAGACTTGCAAGCTTAGCTCATGATACGAAGATGTTTACAGCAGGGAGGTAAAAATGTAAAAGTGCCATTAATCCTCTCCCTACCTCCCATTCATCTTTCCTATCCCAACACAATTTTAAAAGAATGTTGTAATATAATTTAAAAATATTTTGTTGGCACCACTAGCATACATTTTATCTATCTTACCAATTTTTCTCAACCACGTAGGCTAAGCTTTGTCACCTGGTGAGTTAGCTGTGAACTTAAAATTATCCTAAAACTACAGAGTATGTTTAAGATTTCTAATCAGCAGTTATCCACACACTTTACCGAGTTTACAACACTAGTTATCAAAATGCAACCCTATGCTTTACAGGTATAAATTTGCAGCAAAAAAAATATAATTATGAGATGTTTCTAGTCATCCTATAATTTTCTATTCTATTAAATTCTATAATAATGTCCTTATGCCTCCACCAATTCGCTTCTAAGGTAACCAACTTTAATAACTTCATTGTACAAATATATGTCTAAACATAAATGCAGATATAAGGGCAGACATCTACCAGGCAATGGGAAGAGAGGGTACAAAGATGGCTGGAGCATAGTGCCTTCAGAGAATATTTTGTTTCCTATATAATCTGAAAGGAATGGAGCCGGGTAACAGACAAAAATGTGTGGCACTCACCTTCCACACTCTCAGTTCTCTCAGCTTTGTTTAGATCTTCAAATCCCTGCACAGATCCTAGATCTTTATCCATTTTTTCTTTATCCGAAGCAAGAGAGTCTCGGGAAGTGCCTTCTAGGTCTCTTTCATGTTCACTTTCCAGTTTTGCTTCACTGCGTTTAACAGACTCTATTTGAGAAGAACTCTCAAAAGTTCTGTCTCTGTCTCTGTCCCTGTCCCTTTCCATAGAATCAGGAATTAGTCTCTCTCTTTCCCTGTCCAAATCTCTCCTTTTGTCTCGTTCTCTCTCTCGTTCCCGCAATCTATCTCGGTCCCTGTTCCGTGGCCAATCTTTATCGGCATCTCGGTCCCATTCTCTCTGTCTTGTGTCTCTCCTCTCTCTGTCCCGCTCTCTATCATGCTCATATCGATCACGTTCTTGAAGCCTATCTCTGCTATCGAACGACCCGGATCTTGAATGGACCTGTCGATCCGATTCAGGAGAACTTCTTCTCGAACTATGGCTCCTTGAGTCCTGGCGATCTAAAACAAAGAGTTAACACATGAGAAGATAAAAAATGCTTCACTGTTGCTATGCTTGTGGCGAGCAGGCATAAGTCAAATCACTGTGCTATACAACACCTCAAATTAATGTAACATTGTGTGTCAACTATACTTCAGTGGGAAGAAAGAAAAGAAAATGTTTCATCTTAGGGTCCTTTAAAGCTTACAATTTGATATTTCTATATTCCCAATTATTCGAGGAACTCATTTTAAGGAAAAATTGATCTCTCTCCATTAAAGTGCTAATTAAAATAGGTAAAAGACAGGGCGCCTGGGTGGCTCAGTCGTTAAGCAACTGCCTTCAGCTCAGGTCATGATCCCCAGGTCCTGGGATCGAGCCCCGTGTCAGGCTTCCCGCTCAGCGGGAAGCCTGCTTCTCCCTCTCCCACTCCCCCTGCTTGTGTTCCCTCTCTCGCTGTGTCTCTCTCTGTGTCAAATAAATAAACAAAAAATCTTAAAAAAAAAAAAAATAGGTAAAAGACACGGAAACATGTTTATTTCCACTATAACCACAAAATATCTTCCAAGAAATACATATATAAAATGGTAAGCGTTAACAGAACTGATCACTTCATTATCTGATCTCTTCCTATGCCCTAACCTTATTTTCTGTGGTCAAAAGAACAAGCACTGGCTGCAGGAAGAAGAGCAGGAAGGTTACAAATTTTAGGCATCAATAAGGGACTTGAATACATAAGCCCTTCCACCAAGATACACTAACATCCTGATATTAAACTGATGGACGTCACTCAAAGTCTCTCCATTATAAGGTTGGTATTAATGGTAACATTTTGGTGGCATGGGTAAGCTTTTAAGCTCCTTAAACTTTAAGGCAGTGTATATCATAACCAACATAGCATTTACTTTATAATTTGTATAAAATATAAAACTGTATAAAATATGATAAGACAGGAAACACTTGGTTAGATTATAATTCAATTTTATTACCTGAAGAAGTACTTCGACTGGGTTCTCCACGCTTTAACTGATCAATCCTAGATTTTCTCTCTCCTGTGATTTCCAGACTTTTTGTTTTCTCTCTATCTCTTGAGCCACTATGCAGTACTCTCTTTCGACCACTCTGGTCATCTCCACTTCGATGGGCAGAATCATTGGATGGGGAACGGAGACGACCTGACGTATGACTACGATTACTCCGATTGCTCCCAAGGCTGCTACTCCTCTTTTGATCCACTGGCTTGCGATGCGGTGCGTCTTCTATAGTAACGTGAGGTGCCTCTACTTTTTCCGCTCGTGCTCTATGGCACTTTCTGTGCGAGTCTTCGTTGGCGGTACCGGTGGGGGTGGCAGAGGAGGCAATGGCGGTGGTCGATGTGAAGCTGGCGGCAGCGGACGTGGCGAGAGGAGCCGGGCCAGTGGTACTGGCAGCAGTGGCCGCAGGAGGAGGAGGAGGAGGAAGAGAAGACGGAGAAGGAGTCCTCGCAGGAGTAGCAGCCGTGGCGGCGTGCTCCGGTTCTGCCCCCTCCGCCCGCTCAGGCACATCCTCATCAGACCAGTCACTGAACGCCGTATCTTCTTTTTTCTGAGAATCCTCTAGACTGCCATCCTTACTGTTGGAAATTTCAACCAGCTCCTCTTTGGTTGTTATTGGGGGAGTCCGTGGGCCTCGCTTCTTCTTACTCTGCAGGGCTGCTTCTTCATCAGAAATATCCGAATCGCCTTTGGATTTTTTACGTTTTTTTTCAATACTTTTCTTCTTCTGTCCTTTTTTTGGTGAAAATACTTGACCATCTTCAGATGCTATCTCTGTGTTACCCCTCTCTATCCCAACATCATCCTCTTTCTTTTTCTTCATTGGTTTCTTTTGAATTTTTGCTTTTTTCTTGTTCTCATCATGAGCTCGATCAGATGTGTCTCGATCATCAGACGGGTGGTGTCCTATCATGTCTTGTGCACGAGTTCTTGAGCTTTCCATGATTTCTGTCTGTTCTCTCTGCTTATCTACAGAAGAAACTTTCTCTTTGAGCTCTTGCTCTTCATACCGCCTTGAACTCTCTTTTCTTTCTAGTTTACGATCTTCCTCTTTCCATCTACCCTGCCTGTCTTCTGTAAGGTGTGACGGACTGAGAGAACGAGACTCTTGAGGTCGTACAACCTGGCTCAAGAGTCTATGTTTTTCATCTATACAAAAAGATGAAAGTAATCACACTTTCACCAGGTAAACAACATTGCATGTTACACAGAAAAAATAACAACCTAACCTCTCACTTTTCATTTTAAAACTTTAAAAATGGCAATAATTTTACTCAAGACATGGCTTTATTACAAAGAGTAGGAAATGACAGTGCCAGTACGATAAAGTAACTGTATTTCTAGCATATACTTTAGTCACATGAGATATTCAGAGGCAGCAAAGTAAGAAAAATTTTAAATCTTACTTCATCATTTTCTACTAATGCCAAAGAATGGTCTCATGGCTATAAAGGGACGTGGACATAGAAACAGAAAATATTCTGCTTACTTTTATCATCTCCGCTGTTGTACGCATCACTGTCAGGAGAATGTTCTCGCCGGCGCTTAGGTGACTGACGAGGGCTAGGACTCCCTTCATTTCTATAGCGTTTCCTAAGTTGGACAAATATAACTTATAAACTTCCAGGGGATGAAAAAGCAATTTCTTTACTAGTTTTTAGTATTATTTCTTTACTATGACTAGAATATAAAATTGTAAGAGAGCAATATTGTCAGAGCTATATCATACAAAAGGTATTCAGTATCTTTAATAAAATTCTTCACTTTGTTAAGACACACAATTGTGGACTTAAAAATACATGGCAATAGGTCTTGCTTCATTAAATCACCAGATTTAATTACTACAAGATGGTAACGTACAACAGAGGCATTAATATATTAATGTACCCTTTACTAAAACTTAACTCATTATTTTTACATTTTTATGATAAAGAAATACTTTATGTTGGGAAGCCAAATGAGAAAATTTAGTATTTGCTTTGGAGTTAAAAAGACATGAATTTAAATTAGTTATATCATAAGCCCAGTGCCAATCATGTTGTGGGTATACTGGAAAAATTGGTTCCTTACCTCTTCTTAGAACTAAATCACTTGCTTGGTGGCAAATTAATAAAATAATTCATATGTTCACTATATTTCTTGTTCTTTAAGTTAAACATTAAGTGACTAGTCATTTCTATCTCTGGTACTTAAATTATCCTAGTGTTTTCCTATTTTCTCATTAAATTTTGGCCACTTTTTTTTTAAATTAACATTGTTTATAAATACTATGGTCAAAAGTGGCAAAAACACTGCAGCACACCTATCTCCTTGACAGCTCATTTACACAGATGAGTAACCAGAGAAGACCAGAATCCCAGAGATGGGAGATTAGAATGACAACTTACAGGTCCAAGCTCATACAATTCCCTATCCAGAGCTCCTCATCATTAGGCCATCTATCTCTCCATTCTTTGAATCTGGGCTGGCCCACTGACCCGCTATGACAAGAGGATGTGGTGAAAGAACACAGTGTAAGTTTGGAAAGTCAGGACTCAAGAGGTAACGCAACTTCTGCTTTTGCCCTCTGGGTATGTTTCCATCATTATATGCAGAGTTTAGACTATTGGCGGATGAAAGGTCATGTGGAGGAGAAAAGAGATGCCCCAACCAACAGCCAGTACCAAATGCCAGACGTAAAAGTGGGGCCATTCTGGGTTATCCAAACCCAGCTGAACTATCAGACTGACTGGAAACATGAGTGATCCCAAGTAAGATCAGCAGAATCGCTCTGCTGAGCCCAGCCAAAAGTGCTGATCTACAGAATTATGAGCAGATTAATGGTTGTTTTAAACTACTAATTTTTTGTGTGGTTTGATACATAGCAAGAGATAACTGATATACCAGAATAAAGTGATTAATTAAAATACACAAAAAAGAACTTTAACTTCAAGGAAATAGCTACAGAAACAAAATTAAGAGTAAAATAAACAGTATGGCAATTCAGCAAATAAAACCTTCTACATAATAGGGGTTAAAAAACGTTCTGGATAAATTCAACTACTGAGATGACAATATAACTGATAAACATATCAAGATATTAATTTCAGATAGCTAGTTATTGTTATAGAGCTGTTTGACTCCTAAGTTTCTGGGGTTCTTACAATGTTTAGATTGTCCAGCTACAAAGAACCAGAAATTTTTGCCACTGTAAGCAGAGATCAAAATCATGGAAAAATAAAGCATAGGACTGGATAATGATAAATAACAAAGATTTCAATCTTAGCTTAAGGAGGTCAGGGAAGAGAAATAATAACTGTGTGCCTACATGTGTTAAGGTAGTATCTGAATTTTATGTTAATGTAAGATTTTTTTTTTAATGTGGGGAAAGGGAAGCCAGTCAGTGAACTATAGAAAATCCTAGCTGCAGATGAAGGGAAGCCAAGACCTAACAGAAGAAGCCTCCACTTCTGTGTTATGTTCTTTGTCTGTAACCATAATCTACAACAGCAGTGATGAAAAAAACCTAAAGAAGGGAGCTGTATTCACCATGATTCAAATGAACTGGAGGCAGAAGCAATGGAATTGAATATATAAATTATTTCCACAGTTTGTTTTAGCAAACTTAAAAAAAAAAGGCAGTTAACTCCAATGAAGTTGGCTTTATGTCCATTAAAACCTCAAAACTGACCAATGAATCCAAAATTCTCATGGCTACAGTGACTGACTTAAATCTCTTGTCTACTCCTCAACTAATGAGAGCCCCAACATACAGAGAGGGCTGTGAAGATGATAGGCATACACTCGGGCCATCTTAGCCATCATCTGGAGAAACCTTTTTGAGATTGGAACTCACACAGAAGAAAAGAGTGTAGAGATAGACAGCATTCCCGATACTTTGTTTGGAAGTCTGAATATAGTCACATCAGAATAAATGAACACCAACCATGGACTTCCCAGATACCTGAGCAAATAAATTCTTTTTGGTTAAAAAAAAAAAAAAAAAAGACAAGGGAAAAAAAGAAAAAGAGAAACTGTCCTCAGATATTTGAAATAATAACACATCTTTGAGCCCAGTAATATACTATAACTCCACAGCTCAAGAGAGGACAACTCCTATCTCTCATCATCTTCTAGCCATGCAGTGGTTGCAGGGCTTCCCTCAGTTTTAAGACACGTGAATGCTTCTGGCGCTGGGGGTAATGACTCCAGACTAATAAGTACACAAAACTCATGAAGGATTATCAGGAATAGCACAGGCAGTATCTCCTGGTGACTGGTCAACTCCATTAACTAGTTATAAGGTGGATATGATGAGATATAAGTTTATTGGTTCTATCACCTTTAGTTGGATTCCTTAACAAGTCTATAGAAGTTGAATAAGCCAGTATGTCATCAAAAATGGCACAGTAAACAAGAATGATTAATTATATCCATGGTTACAGAAATAGAATGAGAAACTGTTTTTTTTTCCCCCCTAGACAATTCAAAAGACTTTAAACACCAAATACATATAATAAAATTAAAATACAGGAAAATGTAGAGAGCAAAAAGAATTATCAGAACATCAGGGGCACACTAAAAAGCATTAAATGAAACTCTTTACTGAAATATAACCTTTAAAGAACTGATTCATTCTCATTCTTACTTTGACTTTCTCTCATCGTGTCCATCTCTGGGATTCCGGTCTTCTCTGGTATCTTCCCGCTTTTCTCGGCGGTCATCTCGTCCTTTTTCTTTGTCTTCCCAATCCCTCTGACGCTCTCGTTCTTTATCCCTTTCTCTCGCTCTCTCTCGTTCCCGCTCTCGCTCTCGTTCCCTCTCCCGCTCTCTCTCTCTCTCTCGCTCCCTCTCTTCTCTCTCTCGCTCCCGTTCTTTTTCCCTATCTCGCTCCCTCTCTCTCTCCCTCTCTCGATCATGGTCACGATCTCGCTCTCTTTCACGGTCCCTCTCCTTTTCTCTTTCTCTTTCTCTCTCCCGCTCCCTAGCACGCTCTCTTTCCAGCTCTCTTTCCTTCTCTCTTTCCCGATCCCGCTCACGCTCCCTCTCCCTCTCACGCTCTCTGTCTCGCTCTCGCTCCCTCTCTCTCTCTCTAGCCCTTTCATCTCTTCTATCCTCCACTCTGTCTACTCTTCGTTCCTCTCTTCTTTCATCACGCTCAAGCTCGTCATTCCTTCCCTGATGTCGAATTGGTGAGCTTGGTCTTTGATCTACAATGAAAATCAAGTTTTGTCAGTGATTAATTTGACAGATAACCTATTGGTAAGACAGTATGGCAAATCTTAAATTTTATCTGTGTATAGGGTCACACTGGCAGCAAATATAAATCAGGTACTATATTTACGTTTTAAGTTAATCATCCAAATAATCACCCCTAGATGTTTACAAATTTTTTTTAAAGGTAAGTTTTATTTGCCCTCTAACTAACATGTTTTCTGCTCCCCATCAACCCCCTTCCCACCTCCCACTGATCCACCTTTGATCTTTCTCTGCATGCTCCCTACCCTACCTCCAGCCCACTGCTCCAACCCCACTTTCTGCCATCTCTACCCTTCACCTCTGATCTTCTCTGTCCCCCCAGCAGGACCTGAGAACACTGGTGGCAAAGGATAGGGGCAGCAGGAGGTGTAGAACATAGGAGCTGAAGGAAAAAAAAAATTTCCCTCGTAAGTCACACCTCTAATTTCAGGCCAAAATATATACACATCAAAGTGCAGCTATTATGTGAGGAAAATATAGAACAAAACATCTGTCAATAATTGTTGCTGCAATATCAATTTATCATAAACTAGAATATTAAGGGTACTGATGCTTAGCAATCTTGAAGTAATCAAATGTAAAGTGTTTCATATTAGTGATATATATATTTATAATAAATTAAGTTTTATTTAATCATATAACTCATCACTCAGATGAAGAGCTGTTTTCTTAAAAATGTTAACTTATCATCTCATCACATTTTGTATAAATATATTTTTTTAAATACATGAATCATATAAACACAGAGAAAATGAATACATGCTGCCCAAATGCCCAGCTGAGCAGGAAATTAGTCTGGGACCAAAAAATGTATTAGAAATGGCATCAACTTTTCCACAGAGCTAGCCATTTTTGAAAGTAGTTCACTGTGGTAGGATCTAGGCTACTGTGTGATGTGTCTATTTTCGTATTATGTAATAAGGTTTATGGGTTAGTCATAAAGGTCATACTACAATGTGGTCAATAGGTTTTCAAGTGGAATATCTAACATCAACTTATTAAGCAGAATAACTTTAGGATATTTCCAGGGAAGGGTTCAATCAATATAGTAATTTGAATTTCCTATCTTATCACAGATGAAAAAGGCAGGACTTACGCATAATTACTCTTTAGAGGTTATATATCAATACAAAAGTTCATAGAATTTTAAAGCTAAAACAAAACCTTGTCCAGCCCTTTTCTTCTTAAAAACACAGAAATTAAGGTCCAGAAGTTGACTGGCCAAAGTCACAGAGATGGCAGATTTATTAGGACATCAGGACTAGAAGTCAATTCTCTTAAACCCTTTTTTACTTTTGCTGAAGCCAACTTAAATTTAAAATGGTTCTATTGTCCACTTTTGATTCCCCAAATGCTACACATTTATGGTCTTAGACTGTCTGAGTTCCTGGTTTAGGGGTCATACTAATGTCACAATGATTACAAACAACGTGAAATTCAATACTGCAACTTGTAGTAATTCATACTTGAAATTTCTGATTATAGCAATGTCAGGGAATAAACTATTTTACTCTTTTTTTGACAGATAAAAATTCTATTTTCCCCAATGAAAAAGACAATGTCTCTTACTTCAAAGAAAATGAAGAGGCTATAAGAACATCACTTTAATGTGTCTAAACTATTTTTTTTAATCTTCTCCCCAAAATATGTTCTTCAAAGATGCTCTTCTCTTCATATTTCCTTATCTTAATGAATGACATACCCATTCATGAAAGCTGGAAATCTCTGAGTTATCCATCAATTTCACTCTCAAAATATTTCTTTATTCCATTTCCTCTCTCCATCCTTGTGATCTGATCACCTCTTCTTAGATGTCTGTCATCAACAGTCTAACTGGTTGTTATCCTTGTCTTCAGTCCTTCCCCAGACTTAACATACTTTTTTCATGAAAACTCTATTTTTTCTAACTGCTTAAAAGCAGTTGCCTTGTAGGTAGTGAAAAGGCAACTGAATCAAAATTTTTAGCCTGGTTTATTAGGCTATTTAGAACCTGGCCTATAGTCCCTCATCAGTCGTTTTTCCCAGTTTCTTTCCTTCCCTACCAATTATGGGATACCTCTACTCCCAACACCTTAATTCATTACTACTCTACTCTACAGCCATTTGTTTCTTTTAGTCCTGCGTGTCTGCACATGCTATACCCTCTCCCTACCAAAGTGTTTCTTCCACTGTTCCTCCTAGCAAACTCTTTAGGGAAGCTTTCCTGATCTCAGGACTATCTGCTCCTCTGTCATCTCACAGAACTTCATACAGTAGTAGCTAGCATTCATCAAACTCCAACTGTCTCTGTGTACCTAATCAGCCTGTGAAGAACTAAAGGGAAGACTGAAATTCCTGAGCACAGAACAAGGTGCCTGGGCACATCTCTACCCTCAACCTCTATCAATCTTCCTACTGCTCATCATACTCTGGTCACATTGGTTTTCTTCCAAACTCTAGGACATATTAAGGTATTTCCTATCTCAGGGAACTGGCACATATTCTTCCCTCTGTATGGAATGTTTTTACCCTCAATCTTTGTAATGTTAGCTTCTTCTCTTGCATTTATGCTTCTGCATAAATGTCATCTCCCCAAATTTTACATACACAGTCTATCTAATTAGGTCCCTCTCTTATCCTTTATTTCTATCTGGGAACATTCTTTGTGTCCTTGACTGCACTCAATAGTCATTTCTCTTTCTGGGTGTAAGGGGGGGTATCTTCCCTCCCATTAAGTTCTATAAGCACAAGAACTATGGTACTTCAAGAACCTAGCAAAGTGCATGAGGACTCAATAAACACTGTGGAATATATCAATAACCTCAAATATATAGTTCTATTTCAATCATACAAATGATTCTTATTGAAGTAGTTATAGTAAAGTAAAAGAGAAAGAGGACAGAACTTGCATTCAGAAGATCTGAGTCTGAATTCCAGCTCTGGAACTTACTTCTCTGTAATAGTGGAAAAATCAACTATCCTTCTCCTAGCCCAAATCTCCTAAGTTATGAAATGTGAATTCTCTTGTCATACCTACATTCACAGGGATATTATAAAGATAAAAGGATTTTAAAGGATATTTTATATATATTCCCAGACTTAATATCTTTTACAATAGTAAGTCTGGGAATATATAAAAAGCAACTATCAAAGTTCCCGGAAACTTAACACATGAATGGTTGAGAACTAAATATAAGATTGAAACCAAATGTTACTAGTGAATTTCAGGAATAAGATGAAAAAACCTGAGCTAGGATATCCAACTAGGAAAAAAAAAAAAGAGAGAGAAAGAAGAGATATTAAAAAAGCATAGCATTACAAGGACATAGTGTTAAAGAGAGGTGAATCAGCGTTAGGGAAGATATAATTTCAGATATCAACACACAACATATAAACTCCAGCCTCATCTGTAACTAAGGAAATCACACACATCTTTTAACCCAAATGCATTAGGCTTACTCTAACAAACTCAACTCAACCAAGTCTGATCTCATCTATACTCCCAAAGTACATGGTCTCTTAGTGACTTCTTTCTTTCATTACTGTCCATATCAATATACACTATTACCTTTGTGATTCAGCCCACTATAAAACATGATTATTCAATTTCCTACTCAATCAAGTTTTGTAGTATATTAATCTCAGCATTATAGCAAACCTTACTGTAGTAACCAGCCAAAGTTAGTAAGACCTTCATAAAATCTTAAAGAGTTTAAAGGCCCTAATACATATAGACAATAAAAGCCTGTTAAAGAAAGTACTTATAAACCCTTCTTAAATGACTTTGAGTAATCTTGCTTCAAAACTGATTTAAGAGGGTAGATCTAATAGAGTAGAATCTAATACAGTAACCAAAAATGTTTAGCTTAAGATATACAGGAATATAAAATTAGCTAAAGCAAGTATTGCAAATTCTCAAGAAGGAACATGCATAAAATATTCCCTCAAACCACCCCAACCCTACCATCATCAGTTTTTTTCCTTTGTTTTTCTGACAGCCCTTACAAGAGTCTGTTTATTATCACAGCTAGTGAGTGAGTGTCCAGGATACTCAGGTGAGAGAGTATCTCCTGAAGCAGAAATGCCTAGAATGGGCACATCTACATTCTTTAAAGGGTTGTAAGCTATCTGGTTAAAGTGAGAGACATAAAGTAGGGCACCTAGGTTCTTGTGGTATGCAAGTACTTATTACACCTCAGTACCTACTCTGTTGCCAAACAGGTACTCTGGTAGCCAGCTATTTACATACTCTCTCTTATACTAAGTAAACAAGGAAGATTACATGAGTAAATATAATAGTTTCAAATGTGTCAACAAGCAAAAGTCTTAAAAGCTGTATTAAAAAGTAAATTGATAATGGTTTTAGAAGACAATTCTCCCAATCACTGTTGGTCATTATTGAATAATATGCGATTTGACAAACCTCTCTCTCTGTTGTCACGACGGTCTCTCTCTCCATGTCTTCTCTCAAAGGAAGAATCCCTTGCTTGGTCTCTGTTGTCTCTTTCAGGATATCTGTCTCTTTCAGGATAGCTACTTCGAGTTTCCCAGCTGTCATGATAGTTGCTACTACTACTGTGACTATCAATTTGAGAACCTCTTGTGCCTCGACTTCCTAAACAAAGGATATTCACACAAATGTTTAAACACATACACTTTATTAAACAAGTTTCAACAGTCACAATCTTTCTTCCCAAAAAACATACAGGTAAAGAAGGTGTGTTAGTGTTTCAAAGTATGGTAATCATTACTGAAAAGAATATTAAATGTTGAATCAAAACACCCAAGTTGTCTAATGATGGGCTTAGGTAAGCCAAGTCCCAGTTTTTTCTATCGATAAAAAAAGTCTTAATGGAATCATAAAGCAAGAAGGTTCATTTTGGTTAACCCAAAACCCAACAAAATAAAAAATGAAAACTATCTGTTCATATCTAATTCACAGAAATATGAAAATAAAAAAGTTGATACATATTACTGCTTTGATTACAATTTATAGCAAAAACATTCCAATACAGAACCAAGGTATTTTGTTGACATTAAGTGGTGCCTGAAAATCTTCATTTAAAAATGTTGGAAATGAATGTTCATAGTATAAAAGCCAAAACCTGGGAAGTACCCAAATGTCTTTCAATGGTGAATGGTTAAACTGTGGTATCCCCAGACCATGGAATACTACAAGGAACAAACTATTAATACATGTAACAATTTGGATGAACCTCAAGGAAATTATGCTGAGTGAAAAAGCCAATCTCAACAGGATATATACATAGCATGATTCCATTATGTAACATTTGTGAAATAACAATTATAAGATGGAGGACATATTAGTGGTTGCCAGGGGTTAGGGACAAGAGAGGGGATTTGAGTGTGGCTATAAAGGGGTAATACAGGGAGTCCTGTGATACACAACTGAATATCTTGAATGTGGTAATGGTAATGCAAAGCTACACAGCCACTACAGGAAAACAGTACAGAGGTTCCTCAAAAAAATGAAAAAATAGACCCATGTATGATCCAGTAATCCCACTTCTGGGTATATATCCAAAGGAATTGAAATCAGGCTCTGGAAGAGATACCTCACGTTCACTGCAGCATTATTTACAATAGCCATGACACAGAAGCAACCTAAATACCCTCTGATAGACAAATGGATAAAGAAAATGTGGTATATACATATAATGGAATATTATTCACCCTTAAAAAAAAAAAAAAGGAAATGCAGCATTATTTACAATAGCCATGACACAGAAGCAACCTAAATACCCTCTGATAGACAAATGGATAAAGAAAATGTGGTATATACATATAATGGAATATTATTCACCCTTAAAAAAAAAAAAGGAAATCCTGCCATTTGAGACAACATAGATGAAACTGGAGGACATTATGCTGAGTGAGATAAGTCATACACAGAAAGACAAACAGTACATGATACCACTTATATGTGGAATCTAAAACAGTCAAACTCTTAGAAATAGAGAGTAGAATGGTTAACTGCCAAGGGCTGGAGGTAGAAGGAAACAGAGGTATTAGTCAAAGGGTACAAAGTTTTAGCTGTATAAGATGAAAAAGACTTAGAGCTCTACAGTACAGCACAGTGCCTACAGTTAATACTGTATTGGAAAGTCAAAAATTTTGCTAAGAGGGTAGATGTTATGTTAAGCGTTCTCATCATGCACATATAAAATAGTAAAGAGAGAGCAAGAGGAAACTTTTGCAGGCGATGGATATGTTAATGGCATAGATACTAGTGATGGATTCATGAGCATATACTTATCTCCAAGCTCATCATGTTGAATACATTAAATGTATAGAAGCTGTATGTGCAGCTTTTGGTATGTCAATCATATCTCAATAAAGTGGTTTAAAAAAATGCAGAGCTACACACACACACTCACATACACACACATTATACATAATAGGCTTTGAGCCTTCAAAGAATTAGAGAACAATTCTAAATACTGTTGCAATGTATTTTAATAGTCAAAATATCAGTATAATTAAAGACCACAAGGAAGAAATTTAAAACATTTTTTAGAAACTAGAAATGAGCTACATATAACATCTAGGAATGAATAAGTTAAGTAACAGCTTAGATGCTGCTAAGAGATAATTAGTTAAAAAAAAAAAAAAAGGTATGTCTGAGGATATGACCCAGGAAACAAAAGATAGAGAGATGAAAAATCCGAAAGTTAAGAATCAAAGAAGATACAATAAGAAGATTCAACATATGTCTAACCTATGCTGTTTAGAGTCACATTTAAAACAAAAAGATACAGCAAGGCTAAAAGGATGAAAAAAGATACTTATCAAATATTAACCAAAAGAAATGTTAGTAAAATAGCCTTCAAGACAAAAAGCACTATTAGGGATAAAGAGGGTCATTCTGCAATGATAAAAGAAATAATTTGCCTTATGTACACCTAACAGCAAAGTCTTAAAACAGCCAAAGCGAAAATTGATCAAATTACATGAAATCGACAAATTCACAATGACAGTGGAAGATTTCACTCACTTCTCTGTAATGTTAGAAAAAGCAGACTAAAAATAATTATAGATTTGAAACCATAGTTAACAAGCTTGATCTGAGACACCCTTTGCATCCAACAATTAAAAGCACACACAGAACATTATATAAATTTCTGAGCCACAGCTAAGTCTTAACAAATACAAAATGCCAAAGAGTCGACTTTAAAATATTCTCTGACAACAATTAAAATTAAGGAAGGGGATTTATTTTAAAAAGTTATGATTGGAAATTTAAAATCCTATTTCTACCTAATTCATGAGTCAAGGAAGAAATCATATTAAAACTTACAAAGTGTTTAGAATGGTTACTAATACAATTACCACACATTTCATAACAAAGTAAAACCTAAGAGTAGAATTAATAGAACAAAAGAGATATAAAAGAATATAAACCAAAGATTAGTTGTTTGAAAAGACTCAAAACAGACAAATCTCTGGCAAGACTGAGCAAGAAAAATAAGGGAATATAATTACAGATATAAAAGAGATTTAAAAAAACAAATTTTGGGACATCTTTGTATCAAAAATTTGAAAACAAATTTCCTGGAAAAATATAACTTATTATACTGCTTTAAGAAAAAAACCAAACTACAACTATTACAATAATCTAAATCTAGAACTCTTAAGAGAAACTCAATTGGTAGTAAAAACCATAACCATCAGAAAAATAGGAAACAATGTTTAACAGACAAATGTTGTTAAATTGTCAAAGAACAGATAACTAATCATATATAAATTGTTCTAGAGAAAAAAAGAAGCAACACTACCTAACACATTTTCTATGTCTAGTATAACTTTGATCCCCAAACCAAACAAGAAAAACACAAAAAATGAATTATGCTGTGGCATGCTAGAACCAGTTCACGCTGGCTTGAAAGAGCCAATTGTGTACATCTCTTCCATGTCAGTAGCTCAAAATCTGCTACGGCAAGAGTATTTATACCATAAAATTGGCAAAAGCTAAAAGTCAGGACTTTTTCTGAAGAGTCTGTTGTTAAATATTTACCATCATTCCACTAATTATGTGTAATCTCAATTGAAAACACAGATGTTTAATTCAACATCAAATTTTAACCTAATCTAGAACTTTAAAAAAATGAAAAAATTCCCTTTATCTTTGAAATGCCAGGATAGTTCTAAATTTTAAAGAAATATATAAATAAAAGGTTAAAGAGACCAACTATGACCTTCTCAAGATACAGAAAAAATGGTCATGATAGAAGTTAGCTAAGTTGGGGAAATTAGGGGACATCTGTAACAATAAAAAACATCTGGTAAAAATCTACAAACAACATGCTTAATGGTAAAATGCCAACAGTAACACTTTAAAATCTGAAATGGAGCAAAGAAGCCCATTATACTACTTATATTCAACACTATATTGAAAGATGATCAGCAGGTTATCGATAGTAAATAAATAATAATCAGAAAAGAAGAGCCAAATCTGTTCCCAGACATAAATGTTTGAGATAATCTAATTAGATCTCCTACAAAAACAGAGAAACATAACAATGTAAGATTAATATACAAATATCAATTATCATTTCCATACACCAACAATAAGTGGTAGAAAATAAAATACTTTAAAAAGATATTATTTAGTGACACACAGTTATTCACAGAAGCACTGTTCAAAAACAAAGACTGGAATACCTACACATCTACCAATATACGATTTATAGTAGTCTCCCCATCCGTGGCTTCACTTTCTGTGATTTCAGTTACCCACGGTCAACTGCGGTTCAGAAGCAGATGATCGTCCTTCTGACATATCATCAGAAGGTCAACGGTAGCCTGATGTTACGTCGCAATGCCTACATCATGCACTTTGCTTCATCTCATTACGTAGGCATTTTATCATCTCACTTCATCATAAGAAGGATGAGTACAACACAATAAGATATTTTGAGAAAGACCACATTCACATAATTTTCATTGTGGTATACTGTTATCATTGTTTTATTTTATTATTAGTTACTGTTAATTTCTTACTATGCTTAATTTATAAATTAAACTTTATCATAGTTGTGTATGTACAGGAAAAGACCCAGTATATAGAGAGTTCAGTATTATCTGAGGCTTTAGGCATCCACCCAACATCCTGGAACACATCCCCTGCAGATAAGGAAGAACTACTGTATTAACTTTAAGTTGTTTGTTCTAGCTCTGTGCAAAAAGGTGTTGGTATTTTGATAGGGACTGCAAAACAAATAATCTAACTATAAAATGGGCAGAAGACATGAACAGACATTTCTCCAAAGAAGACATACAGATGGCCAACAGACACATGAAAAGATGCTCAACATCACTCATCATCAGGGAAATACAAAATCAAAACTACAATGAGTTATCACTTCACACCTGTCAGAATGGCTACAATTACAAGAAACAATAGGTGTTGGTGAGGATATGGAGAAAGGGGAACCCTCCTGCACTGTTGTGGTGGGAATGCAAACTGGTGTAGCCACTCCAGAGAACAGTACGGAGGTTCCTCAAAAAATTAAAAACAGAACTACCCTACAATCCAGTAATTGCACTACTAGGTATTTAACCCAAAGAATACAAAAATACTAATTTGAAGGGATACATGCATCCTGATATTTGTAGCAGCACTATGTACAATAGCCAAATTATGTCAATAGCCCAAGTGTCCAATGACTGATGAATGGGTAAAGAAAATGTGGTGTATATATACACAATGGAATATTAGCCATAAAAAAGAATGAAATCTTGCCATTTGCAACGACATGGATAGAGCTAAGAGTATTATGCTAAGCAAAATAAGTCAGAGAAAGACAATGTAGATTTCCACTCTTATATGGAATTTAAGAAACAAAACAAACAAATAAAGTTAAAAAAAGAAAGAGAGAGAGAGAAAAAAGGCAAAGCAAGAAACAGACTCTTACCTACAGAAAACAAACTGAAGGTTACCAGAGGGAAGGTGGGTGGGGAATGGGTTAAGTAGATGTTGGGGATTAAAGAGGGCACTTGTGATGAGCAATGGGTATTGTATGGACATGCTGAATCACTATATTGTACAACTGAAACTAAGATTACACTGTATGTTAACTGGAATTTAGTAAAAACTTAAAACTTTAGTAATTCCTACAATGGACAATGTGCACCATTAAGAAGAGGATAGCTGTTTATCAAGCTGACTGATATGTAATGATCTCTAAGGTCTTTTTTCAGTGAAAGCAGCAAGGTGTAGAGTAATATACAGTTTAAAAAAAAATTACATTTGTAAAACCAGATGGGGATATCAGTAGACATACAAATCTGCTTGTGTAGAATATTTCTGGGAAGGATACAGACAAAATTGGCAAAAAAATGAATGAGGTCAGGGATAGAGTCAAGGCTTTTCACAATATATTCTTTTGTACTTTTGAAATTTTGAACCATGTAAATGCATTATTAAAAAAAGAGAGGGGCGCCTGGGTGGCTCAGTTGGTTAAGCGACTGCCTTCGGCTCAGGTCATGATCCTGGAGTCCCGGGATCGAGTACCGCATCGGGCTCCCTGCTCGGCAGGGAGTCTGCTTCTCCCTCTGACCCTCCTCCCTCTCATGCTCTCTGTCTCTCATTCTCTCTGTCTCAAATAAATAAATAAAATCTTTAAAAAAAAAAAAAAAGAGAGAGAGAAAAAAATTTTTTAAGTACCACTGACGAGCACCAAAAATGTTGCATACCCAGGAATAAAATATGTATAAGACCTTAACAGAAAAAGTTATAAATTCATAAATTTAATGCATTTGAAATAAAAATCCAAGTTTTTCATGAAATTAAAAAAAAAAAAACTCATTTAAAAAATGTGTATGAAAAAGCAAAGGGCCAAGAAAAGCCAAGACAACTATGAAAGAGAAGGTAAGGGGCCTTCAGCTTAATATGAAGCTATAATATTGACAAAGATATACCAAAAGACCAATAGAAATAATGTATGTTCAGAAATCTGCAGCAGTATTTTAGGGGAGGGGAGAAAAGAGGAGAGAGGAACAGAGGTCAAAATTAATTCAGTCCAAGCAGTTTGGAGACAAAGACATTTAGGTAGGTAGTTACTGGGTGTTGGTAAATGCTTTTTAAGGGAAGAAGAAAAATGGCTCAAGATTCCGATGTGCAATCATCTGAAGTGGTTTGAAGCAAGCACAAGTATACTAAGGAATACACAGTCATTTCTGATACCACCAATTTTGAAAGCCCACCATTTTAATTCCACTTTAATAATCATTCTATCATATATGTACCTGTTCAGTAGAAATTATTTCCTTTTGACTCCACTTTTTTGCCTGACAGGAATTTTCTTAGTGTTCCACACTAATCAAGAGGGTAGGCATGACTGGATATAATTTACCAGGGGATCTTAATCAGGACCCATTTATCTTTGCTACTTTAGCCAATTCCTAAATCCTAGGAATTTAACAATTCCTATTTGGAATTTATAGGGAAGGCCAAAATTTAATTAATTGAAAATTACTTTGATAAAATGATAATGAATGTAAAAAAGAATATATTTAGAAAAGAAACCTTAAAAGATTTAATAATTTCTATATAAGCATACAAGATACAGTTCACTGACAAGTCAAAAACCTTACCCTTTTCAGGTAATTCTGGACCTCTCCCCCTACTTCTGCCCATCCGGTCATTCCTAATTTCACTTCGAGACTCATTTCTGGCATCATTCCTTATTTCAGTACGAGAACTTTCTTCTCTCAAATGGTTTCTGCCATAACTTCGGGATTCTTCTTGATAGGTATCCTCCTTTCGATGAGAATCTCGACTTTCACGGTCCCTGTAGTCGTGGGTATCACGAGCAGACCGAGAATCTCTGGGATCACGGCTCTCTTTGTTATCTCTGCTATAATCTCTCATCTCCCTGGAGTCCCGAATGTCTCTGGAGTCCCTTAGTTCCCGTCGGTCTCTAGTATCTCTGGTATCTCTTCGATCCCGACCATCTCGAGGCTCTCGGTCATCTCTGTGGTCTCTAGAAGAGCTCTGATCTTGTTCATACTCTCGTTCTTCTCTTGTGTCCTTTTCTCTATCCCTTTTGCTTCTGGTCTCTGTAATGCAAGTTTAGAAATCAACTAGAACTCCTTTCACAAAATTTTGAAGAACTAGACAACACATGTAAATATAGAGCTTAAAAATTTTTTTAAAAATGGTAATTCACGTTCTTTGCAGAAAACAAAAAAAGAAAACATGGGCAAATAAGAAAATTAAAACCATACATAAGCTACAATTCCAAAGGTAATTTTATTAACACTTGGATAACTATGTTCTTGATTAGATAAACTGTGATTAGGATCTTCCCATGCCCCAACTTACCCATACTTATCTTAAACAACTGAAACAAATAAATTGATCTCATATCACTGATGGCTTATTTTTTAGAAACTACTTGTAGACCCAGAGGTACACAGTGACTTTAGCCATCTCTACCAAGTATTAGGCCAAACTAGACCACCCATGACCACCTCAAATGTACTTAAAGCACTTACGAGTGGCCTACAGTTAGTAAGCTGGCTGGCAAAGAGATATTGTTATTCACCCTCTCTTTTCTTGAACTGTTTACTGGAATCACTCCTGTCTCTGAAGTTTTCTCTCCTTAAAGCATTTTCTAACACTTCATAGAAAAATAAGAAAAGAACTTCAGTTTTTAAAAAGCTGAATGAAACTCACTGATTATTTAATTCAACCTTGTCACTGTCTAAATGAAGAAATAAGGGGCCAAGAGCCTAAATGGCTTAGATAACTGCGTACCTAATGGAATTTGCAAAGAATATTAACTATTCTTTAGATATGCCTAGAACAGGCATAAATTGATTACAGCATTGAAGTCAAAGGACTAACAAGAGAACCTCGGAAAACAAACACTGCCTTGTTTTTAAATCAGATTCCTTTATGTGTTGCTCTGACCCCCTGGAACTGCCTCAATATCTGAGGCTATTTTGGCAATTATAGCAGCCGTAGGCCTATTGTAAATTTACCTTCTTTTCTCTTTGTCCCAGGTGGCTAGGTCTACAGACTTTCTCAAGCACCCAAACACCTAGTATCCACAAGACCCCCTAGATTTTCACATTAATAACTCATCTCTCCTGTCAATTATATTGTCCATATGCTTATATCCACAAATGCCCTTTAAGAACAGAAGCAGTAGGCAAGGATTTGATAGGTTTCCATCCTTTTCTGTGCACATCTGTGACTTCTAGTCCTCCTCCAATGCCAACTGTGCCTAAAAATATGTTCACTCAGTACCAGATCCTTTTCAGGATTCCATCTGTCTTTTCAAATCTAGTTACTATATTTTGTTCTTTACCTACCTCCCCATTCTTCCACTAAAATTATTCTTATTTCAGAAGATGACATCTAAATAGAGGAACAAACACCTGCTACATCTCTTATATGGAAGGTTAAAGAAACATCTTTACAAAGAAACTAAACACATATGGTTTATTATTAAATGGATTCTTCCTGTAACATAGGCCACTCAGCACACACACAAAAATTCTTATAAGACTCAACCGCATACTATTTCCCCTCATTATTATTTCAAAACAGACATCAAACACACTAAAGAGTTTTCATTCAATAAGTAGTCATTAAATGTACACTATATTCCCGGTTAACTCTAGTTAAATATTTTTTAAAATTAATAGAAAGGTGCTAAGAGAATTTTCCTATCTTACCAATGTTCCATAAATACTGCTGCGCTCTTCTGGTTCCAAAATGATGTACACAAGAAATATTTCTATACAACAGATGCTCTCTCTGGTCCCTACCTGGGCATTCATCATTTTCTTGAATAAAAGAACTTGATTAATTATTACACTGTTGATAGGAAGAGAACTAAATTCAACACGTTTCACAGGAGACTGCTGTACTATACTCTCAGAGAGGTTTATTTTAAAATGCACATTAAAGAGAAATGTTGTAAGTAAGCAAGTATTTCCTGAGTACTCATTATGTTTAAACACCAACTCAGAAGCTAGGGAAAAAACTTAAATATATAAGGACAAGAAGCTTGGATAAGGAGTACAGAAAGAGATGAGAGCTATTAAGACTATATTGCCAGATGATAACAGCATCTCAGCTTGAACAAGGAGTAGCAAATCCAAAGTTAACTTAATTATCAGGGATCTTGAAAGGAAAACTGCATTGCTTACTTCTTTCTTGAGTTACCCCTAGAAAACTGATCACTTGGTTTACACCGACCTTCTGAATGTTCCCCCAGCCCTTACCTCTTTATCAAAACATGTCTGATGCTTTCAAACTTTGTCCCCTGGTTTGCTGCTTTTCTTTCCTTCATTTCTTTCTTTTTTTTTTTTTTTAAAGAATCAACTAAGCAATTAGAGGGATGCTTCAAGAGTCAGATAGCCAAAAATTTCTAGAACTTCAGAGTACTCAAGTGAAACATCTTAACTGAAGAAAGCACTACCTCAGTATACATAAAAATGCCCACTTATGTACACTTGATAGTTTATGTTCCTGTGTCATTATAAAAGCACCTCTTATTGCCCTCAAGAACTCTACTCTGTTCCAGAAGACTTAATACAACACAGTTTTCTTCTTTCCCTTATTATAACAATAAATCTGAATGTCCAGTTCTTTAATAAAGAAAATACTTAAAGAATTCTAAAAAAATCAAGATAAAGTACAGTGCATACCTTCCCTTCTTTCATGACGCCGATCATGAGATTGTGAAGTTCGTTCATGGTCATGCCTCCCTTTTTCTCGCATTGGAGAGCGATGTCTTGGGGGACTTTGCTTTCTCTGAGGAGAAGACAGAGAATGTGAAGGATAAGGAGAAGCAGAGCGTCGTAAAGGTGGAGTTATTGTCCTCTGATAAGATGGTGAAGGAGTTCTTTTTCGACGAGGAGAAGGAGAATGTCTTTGAATAGATGATCCTGATTGTGAGGAAGATGAATGATGTCTAGAAGATATAGGAGAATGATGCTGTCCTACTGGGGAAGTAGACCTGCAAAGAAAAGCAACAGTAAAAAAAACTGAATGCTAAAGTTAAAGCTGAAAGTGTGAATCATAATTCCAGGATAAATATCAATTCACAATGCTGTATGATAAGAAGTTAATTTTTAAAGATCTGATTGATTTTAAGTGAGCCTGAGGTCACAGTTCTAGATGAGATATGCACTGCCTTGCTTCTAGGCTTTCGGTCCAAGGAGCACTCTCCCTGAGCACAAATAGAGAGAATATTACCCTCACTTAAGTATGGAATTCAATCTTATCAGAGATAATCTCTGACAGTGCGAATAGGTACTTAAGAGGCAGGAAACCACACGAGGCTAAAGAGAAAACATACTGTAAGATCTAGACAGAAAGTGGCTGTGAGAATGCCTGTAATTCAAGGCTGTGGGGAAAGGGAAAAGTCATCATCAGCTATGCCAAACCTGAAGTCTGCACTGCCTGGGTTGAGATTTAGGATGGGGAAAGAATGCTACGGTTAAGGAAGGGACATACTGTCTATACTGTCTTTATCTTAAATAACTGGCTTTCACTCTCGGCCAGCACAGATTAACTTTATGAGTCTTGGTTTAAGGAAGGCTTCTTCTACTGCCTTCAAATCACCTTCTTTCACTGCTGCCAGAGAAACAACTTACAACCCCACAAAGCACCTACAATTTGTTAAATCCTGGGCCCTGGTTTACACTGAGTATGCAAAATGTGTGTGTGCAATACACACACACTTTTGCATTAACTGGAAAGAAATAGGACTAAGGTTTAAAAAATAACATTCCAGATACCACATACCTGGGTTAGTATCATATTCCTCATTCTGAAGACTAGATGTTTGTTCAAAAACATTCTGGAGGCCTAGTCAAAGTATGTTAGAATTACCTTCAGTGCCTATGATAAATATTTTTTAATATCTGCAATGGTGGCAAAATTATTATTAATCCTAAACCAGGGTTTCTCAATCTTGGCGGTCCTGACAGTTTGTATTCAGTAACTGTAGTGGGGGGCTGTCCTGTACATCATTGGATGTTTAGCAGCATCCCCAGCTTCTACCTACCAGAAGCCAGTACCATGCTCCTTCTCACCCTTGTTCATAACAATAAAAAATTACTCCAGACATTGCCTAATGTCCCCAGGAAGGCAAAAATCACCCCTTGTTGAGAACTGCTGGTCTGAACTATGTTGTTTATAAATGATGCCTCAGTAGATCTTTTACCAATAAAAGCTCCAAATACATAAAATATATGTTACTGATTCACGGAAGTGATTCCAATATATTGAAAAGAATTTTGCAGAACAAGGATTTTAGCAAATAAACAAAAACACCTAAAAAAAGTCAGCTAATTAGAACATCACATTCACCTAAACATTCTAGTTATCAGTAATTCCACTAAACCTTCATACTTTTCATAAAAATTATTTCCTTCTCATAAAAAAATAAGCCATAAGCCACTATAATTTAACTGATTATTAATAGAAATGTATTTACTTACAGGTATGAGCAGAAATGCTCATAGGGTCTTACCCAAATTTGGAAAACCAGCTATGATCAATGGTCATTCAAATGCATCTTACTGAACAGAAAAATACTGCAAGATTGAGAATTAGAATGATTATTGTTTGGTACATTCCAGCTGCAATTTCATCAAGTTCTGGTCAATTTGGAAATCTCTAAAGTGATAAAATAAAAAATGTGACTCTCCACTGAACTGACATTTTGGTTAGTTTCATTTATTTTGCATACTAAAAATTGTTTCAAGAAAGTCTACAATACCCTTTGGTGATTGGTTCACAGAACTTAAAAAATAAAATAGTTCATAATACTATCTTTAAAAAACACAATACAGTCCAATCACAACTCTATTCAAATTTGGTGTTGATAGCATGTAGTAAAAAACTTCAGTTCAAGCTTAGGATAATCAACCTATCAAATGAAGGTCAGAGGACCAATGCACTGTCAAGTTATGGTTTCAGTATTTTTCTTCTTACCCATCCTTCAAGAAAAAAAAAGAAACTAAGAAAACTTGGTTTAATTTAAAAGCATCTGTTATGGACTGAATGTGTCCCCCCAAATTTATACAAACCCTCAATGTCACAGTATTTGAAGGTGGAGGCGTTTGGGGGTAATTGGCTTCGATGAGGTCCTGTGGTGGGGCTCCCATGAGATTAGTATCCTTACAAGAAAAGGAAGAAACCAGAGCTCACTGTCTCCCTCCATGTGAGGACACAGTGAGGAGACAACTGTTTATGAACCAGGAACCAAATCTGCTGGAACCCTGACCTTGGACTTTCCAGCCTCTATAGCTGTGAGAAATGAATGTTGTTTAAGCCACTCCAGTCTATGATATTGTGTAATAGCAGCCCAAGTTGGCATCTTTATTTTCCTGTTATTATTCTTTTATAAGTCTGATGACTAAAGAATAGTGAAAAGAGAGGATCTGTTACCAAAACAAGATGCATCAAATTATGGATGTCAGCATAACTGGACCTGGGCCTATGTTTATTCTACACATAGGAAAGGTAGAAAATAAAACTGTCTTGAAATCGGACCAAAATTATTAGTACTTTGGCTTTTAGACTATTGCAGAGGTATATTAAAATACATTTCTAGTTAGAATAGCAGTAATTTTAGATTATTCTTAGGCTTCAGAATTGGCTGGTTTCTTGTCTGAGGAGAAAAAAAAGGTGACATTTGACACTCAAATAAAGAAAAGAGTTTATTATTGCACGAAGAGAAGCTCAATACCTTAAAGAAGAAATCTGTGTACTGTCAGCAAGAGCACTGTGATTTATAGCACAGGGAAAGCCAATCTTTAGCCTGACTTGATTCTAATCAAAAGTTTTTTAATGCTGCTATAATTAGAGGACAAAATGTGGGATGAGAATATTCAGGGCATATTTCATTTGGGGAAAACATGTGAAATGTTAAAAAGTTTAAAAAGAAAAACTCTCATTCAAGATACATTAATTTCACCTACAAACCTGTATGCTTACTCTAGACTTTCTTAAAATTACTAATACCAATTTTTCTTTCAGTAAATGGTTTCTATTTCTCAAATACGAAAATATGCCTTCATAATGTAACTAACATTTATAACTCACCCTTTAAAATCATCATACAGAAGGAGGAGGAGCAAGATGGCAGAGGAGTAGGACACCTAAATTTTGTCTGGTTCCAGGAATTCAGCTAGATAGGTATCAAACCATTCTGAACACCTACAAACTCAACAGGGGATTGAAGAAAAGAATAGCAGCAACTCTCTGAACAGAAAAGAGACCACTTTCTGGAAGGTGTCTTCTGATTTGTTTGGTGTGTATTTTTCTGGGGTCACTGTTACCCTTTTAGCATTTTGTTCTCTCATTCATCTAGTCTCCTCTGGACAAAATGACAAGATGGAAAAACTCACCTCAAAAAAAAGAATGAGAGGCAGTACCGACTGCCAGGGACCTAATCAATACGGACATTAGTAAGATGTCAGAACTAGAGTTCAGAATGACAATTATAAAGATTCTAGCTGGGCTTGAAAAAGGCATGGAAGATACTAGAGAATCCCTTTCTGGAGAAATAAGAGAACTAAAATCTAACCAAGTCTAAATCAAAAAGGCTATTAATGAGGTTCAATCAAAAATGGAGGCTCTAACTGCTAGGATAAATGAGGGAGAAGAGAGAATTAGTGATAGAGAAGACCAAATGATGGAGAATAAAGAAGCTAAGAAAAAGAGAGATAACTACTGGATCACGAGGGCAGAATTCGAGAGATAGGTGATACCATAAGATGAAACAATCTTAGAAAAATTGGGAACCCAGAGGAAGAAGAAAGAGAGAAAGGGGCAGAAGGTATATTGGAGCAAATTATAGCAGAGAACTTCCCTAATTTGGGGAAGGAAACAGGCATCAAAATCCAGGAGGCACAGAGAACCCCTCTCAAAAATCAACAAAAATAGGTCAACACTCCGACATCTAACAGTAAAACTTACAAGTCTCAGAGACAAAGAGAAAATCCTGAAAGCAGCTCGGGACAAGAGGTCTGTAACCTACAATGGTAGAAACATTAGTCTGGCAGCAGACCTATCCACAGAGACCTGGCAGGCCAGAAAGGACTGGCAGGATATATTCACAGCACTAAATGAGAAAAATATGCAGCCAAGAATACTATATCCAGCTAGGCTGTCACTGAAAAGAAAGGAGAGATAAAAAGCTCCCAGGACAAACAAAAACTAAAAGAATTTGCAGACACGAAACCAGCCCTATAAGAAATACTGAAAGAGGTCCCCTAAGCAAAGAGAGAGCCTAAAAGTAACATAGGCCAGAAAGGAATAGAGACAATATACAGTAACAGTCACCTTACAGACAATACAATGGCACTAAATTCGTATCTTTCAATAGTTACCCTGAATGTAAATGGGCTAAATGCCCCAATCAAAAGACATGGGGTATCAGACTAGATAAAAAAAAAACAAGACCCATTGATATGCTGCCTGCAAGAGACTCATTTTAGACCCAAAGACACCTCCAGATTGAAAGTGAGGGGGTGGAAAACCATTTACCATACTAATGGACATCAAAAGAAAGCTGGGGTGGCAATCCTTATATCAGACAAATTAGATTTTAAACCAAAGACTATAATAAGAGATGAGGACACTATATCCTACTTAAAGGGTCTATCCAACAAGAAAGATCTAACAATTGTAAATATCTATCCCCCTAACATGGGAGCAGCCAATTATATAAGCCACTTAATAACAAAATCAAAGAAACACATCGAGAACAATACAGTATTAGTAAGGGACTTTTACACTCCCCCCTCACTGAAATGGACAGATCATCTAAGCAAAAGATCAACAAGGAAATAAAGGCTTTAAATGACACACTGGACCAAATGGACTTTACAGATATATTCAGAACATTCCATCCCAAAGCAACAGAATAACATTCTTCTCTAGTGCCCATGGAACATTCTCCAGAATAGATCATATCCTAGGTCACAAATCAGGTCTCAACCA